TATATATGCCCTAACTTTAGCCTTTGCCTTTTCCCTTCTCCCTTGCCCTTTCCTTAGGGTTTCTTGTGGGTCTTTCTTTTTCCCTTTGCTCCTTTTTTCTTTTTTTCAGTTATCATGATTTTTTTTTTTCTTTTTGACCCAAACACCTCTCCTTTAATTGGCTTGCCTCTTGTCTACATATACATGTTTATATACACAGACACATGTATCTCTCTCATCCCACCCATAATTGTTTTATATAAACCATTTCTCCTCCTCTCTCAATCACCTTCAATCTCTCTCCTTCTCTTTCTCGATCTCTCTGGATCCCCAATCTCACCTCCATGTTTTGTTTGTTGATTCTCTCATCTTCTCTTTTGTCTTTTCACCAAATCGTCATTTAAGGCTTCAAGAACAGTAACCCCAATTCTTCCAGAAGAGAGAGAGAAAAACAAAAGATCTTCCGATTCCATTCTCGTACATGCAAACCACAATCCATGCTATAGATTGTTTCTATTCCTCATTATTTATTGCTTGTATCTGTTCATGCATGGACCAGGTGGAGATAGTATTACTTAAAAATAGAATTAGACATCTGTTTTAGGCAAATTAGTTTCCTTACATAACCATGTATACGTCATATGACGCCTATACATGTATATAGATGTATATGTATTATATATGTATGCCTGGCTCCCTGTATGCCATATGCTGAGCTCATCGAGTATCGATGACCTCCGTGGATGGCGTATGAGGAGCCATGCATATCCTCATACATATATATACATAATTATGTGATGGTGCCAATTGAATTTTGCTGATGAGATTGTTTTGTAGACGTCTTTGTTCATTGCCTCATCATGTGTAGAAGATTAATAGAGGTACCTCATGAATCAATCATATGTTTGTTAGATATTTTGGTGACGCTCTCTCTCTGGTTTCGTTCTTTCAATTCGTAGTTTTCCAGTACACATGTTTGTCATATCGTAAGCACTTTTTACGAGGATTTCTTCTGTGTTCACATACGTTTGGCATTTTGTTTTATTTTTTAAAAGGAAATGGTTAATTATAACGATAGCTAATTATTACATTCCCGTACGGTTCAGATAGCTTTTGTATCTTTTCAATCATATCGATTTTATGAATCTAGTTGTATATATATATATAACTTGTGACCTACCCTTTTATCTTATAACCTAGTGGTGTTTATTAATTTTTGATTTCAAATGCACAATTGTTTACACATGCACGAAGTTGGAACACCACACATTTTAATTTGGAGTTTGTTTTCGTGAGGTATCGCAATAATTGCATCTGGTTTGTTGGTCTCACATTGAAAATGCCACACATTTATAGTTTTGTAATGAAAATATATAGACTACTTAAGATCTAACCTTATACAAAGTTCAAGAACTAGTAAGAGTTGATTAGAAATAGACTAGGTATTCTAAATTCCTTCTTCCCGATATATATTGGTTACAAACTATATATATTGATATGTATTTCGTAAACTCACTAAATTAAATCATATTTAGGTAGCTAGACAGGAACAATAATAAAAGTTTGTGAAGTACTCTAGTAATTTATCAATATACTTAAGCAAAAAGACAGTTCATATATACGCAATAAATAAGTTGTAGCCGTTATCTCGACGCCATTATGGTAACATCTATTCGTTTGTCACTTTTTGGTGTGACTGTTGTTAATATATTGCAAAATTTAAACTTTAGGAGTGTTGATCTCTTAAAGGTTTGATTACAAAATGACATTTGAAAGGATCTGTAAGAGAGCTTAATGAGTGATTCATAGTTTTAAGTCGTTTGTCTTGGTCTATTACTGTAACTCTTTAGCTATTATTATTCTCTGACCAACTAATTAACCTTACAATATTTGTTGTTCATGCAAGGTTCTTTGATTCTTTATATTTGTTGTTAACGATATTTACATATGAAAGAAAAAAATATACGAAATGGAAATGTATTAAATTGGCAGAAACCCTAGGAAAGGGTGAGCCCTGCGGTGCCTGTAATTAATTATTCCAAGCATCCATCCAACCACGCGTGAGACTGTTGACACAAACACACATGACAATGTATAGCCTCAACTTTTTATAGTTTTCTTTTCACTTTTTCTTCTTTTTTTTAACAAAATTTTGTTAGTTACTTTTTCTTCATTTTTAAGATTCTTTATTTTATTTTATTTTGTTTAGTAATGTATGTAAACATTTACATATATACTTCATTTATAGAAGAAAGGAGAAATGTTTTAACTATAAGAAAATATTAGGTGTTGTTGTAATTCCTGGGTTGTCATGTTAACAAGATGTATTCCTATAAGAATCATGGATATTTTAGACTTAAGAGATTTTAAATCCAATAGTAACATTATAAGTGTATCAGATTTTGAATCTCTATGATTGCAGAAAATAAAACATTATAAAATTTATAAATTATATATGAAATTTTTAAAATTGTATGGAATAGATTTTGAATAAATGTGTTTGAAAAAAAATAAAAAATAAATGTGCTGTATAACATAGATAAATATAATATTAAATATCTTTAATCTAATAGTAACTTTTTTTTGTTGAATCTTTAGACTTAATATATTTTAAATAAGTAAGGAACAGACTCAATGTATGCGTTAGGAAGAAACATTCATTAAAAATCTCTATACGTACCAAAATTCGTTCTAGTCTCAATTATTTGATTTCACCAGTAATTCAAGGAGTATTCGTTTTATAGTCTCGTAGTATATCACTTCACTGAATAAATAATTCATTTTTACGTTTACTTATATGCTAAATATGAAGTTTGATATTGGGACTATAAAACTATGGGTGGTAAGGTAATGATGAAAGGAAAATAGAAAGAAATAATGTTTTCATTGCTTTGGGAATCAGCTTTTTTTATATCATCAACAAATAAATATTTTTTGTAATAATCATTAAAGAAAATGTTGTTTATAATAATGATAAGGGGATGGACCACACTAGTCCCTATATATCTTGTGATTGGGCATTAGGGAATGATGAAATGTATTTTTTCTAGTATATCAGTCAAAGTAGGTCAACAAAATAATTTCAACAACCGAGGGCCACGCTTATTCCACTTTTTTCGAATCAATTATTCTTAATTCGAACTCTCTAATTCTAATTATACTTAGGCCATTATCGATCTTTGTGATGTGATATGTGTGTATGTTACGTATAAGACAGATTCTACCGTGTGGTTATTAACTTATTATCTATCTCTATAATTTTCGTATATTTAAATCATTAATATGTAGAGATGTCAATTGGGGTAGTGTGGTTAGGTCCAAGTCCGAAGAATTTCTGGTCCATCTTTAACGAAAATTTTGGGTTAACAATTTGGATGTAATGCTTTTTAATGTTTAAGCAAGTTTAGGGTTGTCCTAATCTGAAATAGGAAAGAAAAAAAAACTGATTTACCTATGTATATGGTATTTCTTAAAAAGTCAAAATTTGTATTGTAAATTATTCTTTTTTTTTTGAAAGAATAAATTATTCTATTGTAACGCTTAAAACTTTAGAATAATCATATAACGACTGTCAAACCTTTATTATAAAAAAAACTTTAACGACTGTGTTTTAGTTTTTTTTTGTGGAAGAGAAGAAGAGACGAAACTCTTACTCGTTACACGATCGATTTTGGTTTGTTCTTTTTCAAATTCTAAAATCTAGCTAAAATGAAATAATTCTTCATCTCAAAATACAAAACACAGTTACAGAGTTACTATATAGATTTGTTTGTTTTCTATTTGAAACATTAACACGGTTAGTTTCTAAAAAGTTTTAATGGTTTTCTATAAAGTATGTTAAATTTATACACCTTAAACTTTGTTAGATTTTTAAGATGAAAGTGCTATAGACTGATTTCTCTTCTTTTTTCTCATAAGTTTATGATTTGGTAAATCAACTAAACTACAACAGAGGCCCAAGTTGATGCGTGTAATCAAACCCATTAAAGAGACTAAACATATGAATGAATCAAAACTAAACCCGATTAAAAGTAAGAGTTGATTGAGTGTATGACATAAATTTGAGAAGTAACTGCTCTTTCTTTTGTGCCATCAATTTGTATGAAGAAAGAATAAATACCTAGATGAAAACCAAAACTGATCTTGGTTTTCAACCGGTTTAGCTAAGTTTTAATTTATTTTTCAGATTTAGAATAAGATTTCAACGTGGCAATTTGTAAGATTTTAATTGATAACCGGCCCAATTTGAGCTAATTCCATTAGTTCTGAATTGCCACGTTGCCATATGTTAACGAAGTCGTTATTCTGATAAGTTAATAATGGAAGTAATGACTAATGAAGATACTTTTCGAAAAAAAAAAAAAAGATTGAAAATGAAAACCCTCTAACAAAGATAAATAAACACAAAACAATTTTTTTTTTTTTGTCAACAGCTTAAATTAAGCGCTTAAAAGAGCCTATCCTGCGGAATGTTGTTTACATAAGTGATGTGAAGCGGTTCGGTACGAACTTGTCGAGCCAATCTATCCGCTTTTACATTTGCGCTACGAGGAATTAAAGATAAAGAAAAACTTGAAAATTCTTTCCTGTCACTCTGAAAATCCTCTAGGTACACTGAAAAAGCCGGCCATTCGGTTGGAGAAGACACCATCTTCACCAAATCTGAACAGTCTGTAAAGAAAGCTACATCTTGGTTGTCAGCACCAATCATACACTTCATCGCCCAAAGAAGAGCTTCGACTTCTGTATGTAGAGGAGATAAACTTCTACGGATGTTGGCAGCTCCCATGGTTGGCATCTCTCCATTTGATGATGTACAATACCATCCTGTTCCTGAATAAGTATCGGTTCCTTTCCATGATCCATCTATGAAACAACGATATCCTGAATAGTTACATTTGATCCTACCTAATAATATTCGACGGCTAAATATGTTTACATTCTGATCATAAGAAAAAGGAAGAGACTGAGAACATTAACCAGCAAATGCAGGTGCAACAACAGATTCTAGCTATTAACAATTTGACAAACAAATCTGTGGGTTTATTACTTTGATAATCAATTTATCATACAATTTATAAGGAGAAATAAAAACAATGCTGAATATATTTCACATTTTGAGAGGCTTCAGCAACTAAAAGGTGAGTCCAGACTTGACGATGAGATCAAGAAAACTCAGAATATTTTTGATATTGGGTCGTTCGTTGGGGTTTTCCCTCACAGCAAGCTCAGCTAATTCAGCCAATTTAAGCAAAGGCTCTACATTTCTTGGCAAACCAATGTTCCTATCGATAATCGCCGCTGCTTTTCCTTTTCTGATCAATGGAACCGCCCATTCCGCAATCCCGGGAGGATCAGATTCTCTATCGATAGCTTTTCGCCCACTTAGTATCTCAAGAAGCACAATACCAAAGTCATACACATCACCTTCTCTATCACTATTGCTTGAATCCCTTTCATTCGAGCTTACCAATCCGAAATCCGCTATTCTTGCGCACATTTCACCGTCTAACAAGATGTTGGACGTTTTCACATCTCTATGAATTATTGGAGGATCTACTTCGTTGTGTAAGTAATCAAGTCCTCTTGCAGCCTGCAACATGATCTTCAATCTCATGCTCCAATCCAGTTGTGAAAGATCTCCATGGAGATGATCATGGAGCGTACCGTGCGGCATGTACTCATAAACCAAAAGCCGTTCCCCCATCTCCGAGCAATATCCTAACAAATTCACAATATTGTTGTGTCTGATTTTGCAAAGAATCTCTAGCTCCGACTCGAAACCTCGGTTATTAGAGTGAATGATCGTTGCAGCATTCGCTCTTTTGACCGCAACATGTATCCCATCAGACAAAACAGCTTTGTAGACAAACCCGAAGCTACCTCTTCCGAGCTCGTTGAATTCTTTGAACCCGTGAGTCGCATCTTTGAGCTCCGAAAGACGGAAGATTTTGGTCTCCCCGAGAGATACAGCGGTTGGTAGAAGAACTGACTGAGGGACGGGATCAGGATCAGCTTCGACAGAATTCTTATCGAAACAGAAGCAACAAGTCATTTTGCTTCTCTCTTCATCATCTCTTTTACTATCTTGTGTCATCTTTGGAATGAAAGACAAACCGATCAACATCACCAAGAACCCTAAAACAGAGCACCCTATGATGATCACCAATCTCCGTACCTCTCTCTGCTCTTTCTGCTCGTGCTCTTTCGATTTCGCAACCCGAATCTTGCAGATACCGTAACAAGAACTGTTCTGACATAGTGAACAAGGAGTACAGACCCGGTCCGCATTTGGATTACAAGTGCTGGAAGGAAAATAGCCTTCCAAGCAACTGATTCCACAGCGTAAGCAAATGTTGAGGTTATGAAACGAGCACAAGCTAGTGAGTTCAGATTCTTTCAAGATACTTGCATTGAAAGCAAACCAGCCATCACCACAATTACCGCGAGGCGAACACATCCCGGGGCTACATAACTCCAAAGGAGGACTATAATCCGCTTTCGAAGAATCATGAACTCTCCAACAATCAAGAACCAAATCAAGCTCTCTAACTCCACAAGTTGTAGAATCCGAAGACGAAATCGCCACAAACCCAGAAGTATTAGGAGCTGAAGCTGACGACGAAGAATTCAAGTTTCTTCCCCAACACTCAACCCCATGATCATCCTCACGGATACCACAATAATGATTAGCACCAGCTGAAAGCGCGATAAACCGAGGCCGGTTCGGTAACAAACCAAACTCTGTTTCATCTCCAAAGCATTGAAGTTGACCTGAATCTTTAGAGACACCACAAACAGAGTTCCTCCCAGAAGCTAAAACCTCGAATTCTTCATTATTGGAGAAATTCAAAAGGTTTGATTTTGGTCCCCAACAAACCAAGTCTCCATCTTTAGTAACACCACAAGAAAACCCATCTCCAGAAACAATCTTACGAAACATGAGACTATCTATATAAGGATTATGAAAAGAAGAATTCCAAAGAAGACCAGAAGTGAAATTAGTGTTATCACTATACTCCCAACAATGAACAGGACCATAATCAGGACCTGAATAGTACAATCCACTTATAGCACAAACATGATTGCTACCAGAAGCAATCTGTAAGTAAGAATTATACTGAAAAGCTCGAGGAACGAGATTCTCAGAAGGATCTTCAAGGTTCCAACAAAACGCACGCGAAGTGTTCGACGTAATGGCGCAGAGAAAACCTTCACCACCGGAAAGTGAAGTCATTGGAGGAGAATAACCGGAGATTTCACCGGGTGGTCGGTTTAAAGATCGGTTAGTGTTTCCTCTATCCCAACAGATGGCTTCTTGCTTCCCACTTGCGTCAATGGCGCAGAAGAATCCGTTTTCGCCAAAAGCTGCTGCGATTGTGCCTGTTGAGCCATACCCAGAAACTGTGACGATGAATGATGAAATGGTGAAGAAGAAGAAGTGGGAATTGGGTTGCATTTTTGGGTTTTAGTTGATAAATGTTTTGGAGAGATGATTGAAGAAGGTTGAGGAAGAAGAAGAATTGATCTGAGAGGTGATTGAGTAGACATGTTAATGAATGCACTTCCTGTTTTGTTTTTTTTTTAAGAATGAATAAAAATTGTAATAATAATGGAAGTGAGCTGTTTATGTCTGCGCGAAGGTTCATTGGAGAGAGACAATCCAAGATTACAAAATTGGTCAGGGGAGATGGAATTTACCAAACCAAGAAAAAATTAATCATTTTAGTTTTTGTACTATGAAATAAATAAAATTCTGTACGGACATTTACATTTGACTGTTAGGATCAGAGCTCTGTGTTATGATATTGGAAATGGCGACGCATTACAAAAAATGAGTTTTTAAAATTGTGTGTTAGATAGTTACAAGTTCCTAACTTCCTATATTAAGAAAATTAAGGCAAATGTTTTTCACAGCAATGCAATTATTAGGAAGAAGAAACAAAGGTGGTGTCGTGCAAATTAGAGTACGGTCAAAAGGATTTAATAGTTGACTTTGCATTTAATCATATGTTCAAAAGGCACATGCTTTTCTCCACGTGATATTAGCTTAAACAGTGCCGATAATTAACATATTCTCTTTAGCATTTACTTCTTGTCAACATTCGATATTACTAGCTATAACGTTTGTTTGGACTTTTTGTAGGATCGGATTCAATTGTTTATAAGGTAGTTAGTTCCAAGGGACCAAAAACTAAATCAAATCTTTGATGTTATATGATTCATCTCAATCAAGTTATACGAAGCATAAGCGATACTGATTCGTCTAGAGTAAATTACACATGATGTTAGTATGTTACATGATTTAATTTGATGACAATGTTTAGCTGAAACAGTAATTATTGCCGAAGTCTTAATGAAAAAGTTAGCCCATAATTAATCATTATCAATTCAAAGGTGGCTAATTAGCTATCTTCCTTTCTGTTTTTACCCTGTTGAATAAATTTTTTAAGAAAGGATGAGCTCAACTTTCATAAATTTACAATAACCACATTATCATACTAGTCAACTTTTCTCAAATAGGTTGCTCGCTTAAAGTGCGGTTACCCACATTTTCAGTGAAAAAATGGTTTATTCATTTTACGATAAACAAATCAAACACAATTTTTGTGAATAATAATGTAGTTAGTTTCGAATTTACCGTGAAACGAACACACCAAACGTGGTCAATGGTCATTGTTGACACTCGGATTAAAACTTAATTAATAATGTGGCAACGTCAAGTCTTCGATTATGTGCTTAGTTAAGGATATTCTGTACATTAAACTCCAACGAGAAACTACGTAATAGCATGTGAGCATTGAATTAAGAACTAACCAAAATCAATTGTTAATTAGGATAATAATAGAGGAAGATCGCACACAGGATCACACCAGATTTAGGGAAGCTTGAAGAGAGGACATCGGCTTGTGTTAAGTGGGCCAAGTAGATACTGTCTTCTCTGTCTTTTACGCCAACTCATCTACATGCATACATGATACATTCATTAAAAAGTTATAATACATTTATACAACCACTTGTCTTTTTTTTTTTTTTGTATGTCATTGAATTACAGGTTGTTCTTACACATTTTTCGTTTAACATATATCGCCCTATATCAATAAGACAAATAAAATTTTAGATCATTAGGGATAATTAACATTAGTTTACACACATAGGTGGGTTATGTCCGGTCGTCACGGGACGAGTTAGAAGAATCGTAGGTTTTGTAGGCTAAACATGCCGCAGATTGCAGTCTGTAGAATTTATTGTTTCATGCAAATTGCAGACCAGACTGCGTGAACCTTTTTTGTCAAACACTTTAATAATAATTTAAAGTAAATATTTTAAAGAATATATTATCTATGTTATATTTAACTTGTATAAACGATAAACAATGTAAGACATAGACTATATATATTATCAATATAAGGGTGATAAAATATATTATTCGGTTTGTTATGTTTGTGACGAATGTCCAACATAGATCATATCAAGGTGTATTCGTATTATATGATTTGGTTACAGTATCACTCTTTTAATTGTTTTGTTTGCAAGTGGTTTGGTCTAGCGTGATCTGGTTAATGTCGAAACGGATCTACAATATAGGCAAAGATTGGGCCCACAGGCCCGATACTGTCATAATTTTACTTTTTTTTTTAACCATCTATTACTGTTGATTTTCTTACCGCTTTTGGTTTTTTACCAAATCGGACCCATTTATTCGAGAGACCAATTTTAAAACCTTATCGCGACGACTCTTTGAAGCTCCGTTGCTTACGTGGATCACTCCTCTCCGCCACAAAAACAAAACTCATGAGCTAAGCCGTCACTCTCACTCTCTGATGTCTCCCAAATTCCGATTTCAATTCTAAACTTAAACCTATTGCTCCGATCAAACATGGCATCGGTATCTCCATCGCCGTCTTGTTCCACCATACCCACACCAGTTCGACACTCGTCTCGAACATGTTTCGCCGTTGCTGAATTGAGACGATTAAAACAATTGGTCTCAGACACTTCGCTGATGTTGTACGCAATGACGTTGATTTCCTCAAGAACAAAATCGGCATCGGACTCTGGTGGGCTAACGAGGCTTTTCGTGTACCGGAAGTGACTAAATCCGCTGAGGAATTGTTTTGGCTTCGGCATCTTGAGGATCATGCTTCTTCGAGTTTGGAGTCACAATCTTGGCCTCAACCTTCCTACTCAGGTTTTGGTTTTCGATTTCGGTGATCATGATTGTTAATTTGTTGCTTGACTCGATCAGAATAATGCTTTGATAGATAGAACTTAGTTCTGAACTATTTGATGCATCGTTCGAGAAAGTAGTCCTATGAAAGAGAGCAGCTTTTTCAAATGTAGAGCTTTTTAGATGTCTTGCAATGGGGCATTGGTGATTATAAAGTTGAGAGCTTTAGGTTGGAGTAACAGTGGAAGTCGATTGTTGTCAATGATCAAGTAGATTGATTTTTCCCATCAATGGCATTCCTTTAGATTTGGAGAAAATGTGATAGGTTAAATTGAACTAAATAAAAAGCCGACGAGACCATTCCTAACATATTCTTCTTGTTCACTGTTAGTGGTGATCATTTGCTGATGCAGTTCGAATTGTTTTGGTAGGGCTCTCTGGGGTGGACTTGTTCATGGCTGACGTCAAAGCCTTGGAAGCATATGCTGCTTACTTTTACTGTCTTTCTAAGATGTGGTCTAGACCACTTCCTGAAGTTTATGATTCTCAAGCTGTTGCAGATTACTTTAATTGTAGGCCGCATGTCGTTGCCTTTAGGCTTCTTGAGGTATCTGTTAAGAGTTTTGGTTGGTTCTGTTACTAATCATTGAATCATTTTAAACTTTGATAAATGCTTTAGAGATACAGATGACGTGTTTCGTTTAGCCTAACACATTAGTATTCTTGTTTTTCTTGAGTGACAGAAAATTCGGATGTGATCTTATTTGATTTTTAATATATAGGTATTTTCTGCGTTCATGGTTGCTGCCATCAGATTACGAACATCAGCATCAGACAAAAGCAAAAGTTTAGAAGCTTCAGAGCAGAATTTTGGGATGGTGTTGAAAGAAACCATGCTACATTTGGGTCCAACTTTTATCAAAGGTCTGGCGTTTAGCGTATTATTTTGAAGTATGAAACTATCCATCAGTCACCATTTACATTTAGAGCCATATATTAGATACTTTGCTCTGTTGCAAATGATACTTCCCTCTCTTCTGTTGGTCCAGTTGGTCAATCGCTTTCGACGAGGCCAGATATTATTGGGACTGAAATTTCCAAGGTCAGATAGAAGTTATGATCGCATTTGTCTTAATCTCTTAGCTTCTAATTGTCAGTCGTATTACTTTGTATAACGTAATGTCTTGCTAGTGCATGTTTCCATGGTTCTTTCTCCATTCTGCATGCCACATTTGGTTGCTCTTAGGGATGCAGCTGTCTGACTATGTTAGTTTTCATATGTCATTAACTGGGTTATGATTTGAAACTGCAGGCACTATCTGAACTGCATGACCGAATTCCTCCCTTTCCCTGGCCTGAGGCTGTAAAAATCATTGAAGAGGAATTAGGTGGTCCTGTCGAGTCATTCTTTAGCCAGTTTTCTCAAGAAACTGTAGCAGCAGCATCCTTTGGTCAGGTATTTACTCTGGTTTTTATCTTACAAGAAGTAAGTATCATATGAATGAACATGTAGGTTGCAAGCCTAATACTTGATATGCAACTTTTAGGTCTACCGAGGAAGAACTCTTGATGGTTCGGATGTTGCAGTGAAAGTTCAGCGCCCTGATCTGAGACATGCAGTGCTACGCGACATTTACATTTTGCGACTTGGGGTTCGTGTGAAATCTACCAAGTAATGTCAAATCAATCTGCTTGAATCATGTCATAGGTATATGATATTTCTTTTGATTGGTGCAGCTAGGTGTATTGCGAAAGGTAGCAAAGAGAGAAAATGACATTCGTGTATATGCTGATGAGCTTGGAATGGGTTTGGCTGGAGAATTGGACTTTACTTTAGAGGCTGCCAATGCCTTAGAATTTCAGGTACTCGCCATTAGGTTTAAGAAAACATGATACTTTTAGAGGCTGTCAATGCCTCTGAATTTTTGGCTGTAAAGAACCGAAAGTTAGTTTGCCAAAAACAAAATGAAAAAAGTGTGACAAAAAAAAAGTTAATGTTTTATGCTTCTTCTGATAGAGATCTTGCGTTGTTCCCTCTAAGTGTGATGTGCTCATTATCTGTCCATGCGTTAAATTGTGGCTTATATAGCTTGTGCAATCAATGTTTAAATGTTGTAATGCTTTTCCTTTACAATGTACTCTCCGTTCGTGCTAGTATCTATATTATTTCCTTAATTTTTTGGTTTAAGTTTAACGGAAAGCATCTAGTATGTTTTGACTGATTGAAGTACTTCATTTCTTGAAGGAAGCTCATTCACGATTTTCCTATATCCGGGTTCCAAAAGTATATAAGCATCTAACGCGCAAAAGAGTTTTAACCATGGAATGGATGGTTGGTGAAAGCCCCACCGATCTACTCGCAATATCTTCTGGTTACTCTGATCATGACAATGAGAGTCATGAAAAGCAAAAAATTGAAGCGAGAAGGCGTCTTCTTGATCTAGTAGGTTAACATATGTTTTGTAGCATAAAACTTCCTTCTTGATCATGTTAATTTGGTAGTACCATTTTGCTAGACTATATGATGTTCAAATGGCTGAGATTTCTTTTTAATTTCCATTGTAGGTGAACAAAGGGGTAGAGGCAACACTAGTTCAACTCCTTGATACAGGTATTTTGCATGCAGATCCGCATCCTGGAAATCTGCGGTACACAACATCAAGACAGATAGGGTATCTCTTAACCATTCATCAGCGTTACTCAGAAAATTCTGACTTTGACAGGATGATCTTGATTTGATAACCACGTGTTTCTATGCAAGGTTTTTGGACTTTGGTTTAGTTTGTCGGATGCAAAGAAAACATCAGCTTGCCATGCTCGCATCAATTGTGCATATCGTAAATGGTGATTGGGCCTTTCTTGTTGAATCTTTGACTGATATGGATGTCATCACGCCAGGTGTTAATACCCGTCGTTTTACTCTGGTAAATATATAATTTCTGATCTCAGATAGTGTAGTGTATTTTTCAATTAGAATATAGCTTAATGTTTTGTATGTTAGATTTTCAGAAGTTACTATTCTCATATCTTATGATTCTTCAAAATAATACAGGATCTGGAATATGCATTGGGAGAGGTTAAACTTATAAACGGGATTCCTGATATCGAGTTCACCAAGGTGAGACATGTATTTCACAAACTGTTCTTCATTGACAAAAAAATAGTTACGTGGAGTATCTACCCCAAAGACTACCATTCCCAAAGACACTTTTAGTTCTTTATAAGCCCTAACTCCATACTATCCTAACCAAAAGGACTATAGTTACCTATGTGTTCGGAAAGTGAACGGCTCTTTAGCTCGACGAACAATGTTAGGGTAAGTAGCATAACCTGAATGCCAAAACTTTCAGGAATAGGTCATACATTTTCGTCTACTTTAGAGAGGCAAGTATACTTATATTTATGACTTTTAACTCTTAACACATGGTATATCTGATTAGAAGAGTGGTTTCTCTTACATTTTTTCACATTCTTCTCTGTGTTAGTAT